GATGACCACATTGCAATAATTGAGTTTGAAACTCACCTGCTCTTCTTAGAGAACACGATCATGAAAAACTCATATTATTTGTGAGGACTATTTTCCTTCAATGAAATTTTAAAAATTTACAGCAGGTGATACAGTGTGAAATCATTCCTGGGAAGTTAATGAGAGTTCACAAATTGAAAAGCCTCCCGAGCCCATCAGTTGTAGCATATTAAGCAATTTTGTGTGCAAAACAACTTTATTAATTTGTTTAAAGTTTTAGTATTTAAAAAGTTAATGAGTTTAAGAGTCAATGTACTTATTCCATGATTGGAAAGTGAACTTTAATTTCTACTTAGCAAGGCAGCAAGGTAAAGTGATTTAGGCTAATTTATTGACATGTACAAAACCACAAGGACTTCAAAGAGCAGGTGTAGGGCTTCCCTGGTGGCGCAGTGGTTGAGAGTCCGCCTGCCGATGCAGGGGACACGGGTTCGTGCCCCGGTCCGGGAGGATCCCACATGCCGCGGAGCAGCTGGGCCCGTGAGCCATGGCCGCTGAGCCTGCGCGTCCGGAGCCCGTGCTCCGCGACGGGAGAGGCCACAACAGTGAGAGGCCCGCGTACCGCAAAAAACAAAAAAACAAAAAACAAAACAAAGAGCAGGTGTACTTAGAGAATTACAAGTAGTTCAAATCCTTGATTCTAGTGTGTAATGTGGTGTGTGAGGGATTAGACGGGTTGATCCAGTTAAAGAGCCTTGTTTACCGTGCTAGAGAGTTTGGCACTGATTTAAAATACTTTAAATATTTAAGGAGGAAAAAAAAAAAATATATATATATATATATATTGTTTTGTTTTGTTTTGTTTTTTGCGATACGCGGGCCTCTCACTGTTGTGGCCTCTCCCGTCGCGGAGCACGGGCTCCGGACACGCAGGCTCAGCGGCCATGGCTCACGGGCCCAGCTGCTCCGCGGCATGTGGGATCCTCCCGGACCGGGGCACGACTCCGTGTTCCCTGAATCGGCAGGCGGACTCTCAACCACTGCGCCACCACGGAAGCCCTAAGGAGGAAAATATTTTATTGTATTTTTGAAAGTGGATCCAGGGAGTAGTATCGAGAATGCAAAGACAAGAGGAAATTCAGAGATTATGCTATTAGTACTAGGAGAATTCTGGAGAACAATTTTTGGGTGACATATGAGACAGTTACAGTTGGGCTGAAGAAAAGAGAAAGAACATCCGAATAGGCTGTCTAATGATTAATTTGATATTCAAGATGAGGCACCAATTATAATTCTTAGGTTTCTGGCTTGGGAAAGTTGGGGAATGAAGGTTCTAGATAAGGCAAAATAGGAGAAGGCCTATATTGGGATTTGGAGAAAGGGCAGAAATGATGAGCTCAGGGTATAAGCTCTGGAATGATCGTTCTTGGGTTCTGGTCCTGAATTGTCACTTCATAGCCATGTGACATAGGAAATTACTTAATCTGTTTCTGTTTCCTCATAGGTAAAATAGAGATAGTTACAATATTTACCTTATGGTGTCACTGTGATTATTAAATTAATTCATACAAATCATTATCAATAACTGCAAACCCTTCATTATCTCAACTGTTTGTTACCTCACTCATTCTTGTAACTTGACACCAATAACCGTGATTCCAACACTTTTTTTTTTTTTTTTTTTTTGCAGTACACGGGCCTCTCACTGTTGTGGCCTCTCCCATTGCAGAGCACAGGCTCCGGACGCGCAGGCTCAGCGGCCATGGCTCACGGGCGCAGCCGCTCCGCGGCATGTGGGATCTTTCCAGACCGGGGCACAAACCCACGTCCCCTGTATTGGCAGGCGGACTCTCAACCACTGCGCCACCAGGGAAGCCCCCCAACAATCTTTGATTCCATTGTAATCCACAGTGTATTTTCCTAACACCCCTTACTGTACTTCACTCTTCGTGTCCTTACTTCCTTGTTTCCCAGCTTAATTTCCATGGCCAATCTCTATAATTACTCCCTTGCTCATACTCTCAACTCCTTTGCTTCTCTCTCATTTCATCATATTGGGCAAAACACAGTCTCATTAAGGCTGCCCCATGCCTATTCTACTCCTGGGCCTAGAAGGTAACTGGAGAAATATGACTGAATATGACCAGAGAAATATATCCATCCAAGCTGACTGATCTTGTTCTAAATCTGCAGTTATTAACAGGAAGAGACTTTTCATTATTCCCTGGCAATCATATGGTATTTCTTGATCCACATAGCTCCCACTCTGCCAGGTGACTTGTGTGTAACTCATTCCTGATCTTCAAAACTCTCATACCGTCTTTGCTCTTAGCAATGACCCACCTTCCTACTTTTCTAAGAAACTCTAAGTGTCATATCTTTTTTCCATTGTTACCCCCTTAACACACCAGTTAGATTGACTGTTCTTTTAAACATGTAAGTCAGATCACCCTGTCTTTTGGTAAAAGCCTCTAATGGCTTCCAACTTCTTTCACAAGAAAAGCTAAAGACCTTAGAATAGCCTAAATTGTCCTACACATATGAAAATCTTAAGACATATTTCACCTTCTCTACTAGTATTCCCCCTGCAGAAGGAGACCCAGTCACTAATTTCTTTGATGCACTTCAGCTATGTCAGGCTTCTCCTGCCTCTGAGTCTTTGCTTGTCCTTCTTTGGTGACCCCTCTGTCTACAAAGTTCTGCCCCCAGAGAGAGCCACATCGATGACTCCCTCACATTCCTCAACTCTTTACTCAATTATGTCTTTGGTGAACTCTTAACTACTTCTTTTATAATTGTAGTTCCAGCATTTCTTCTCTTCTTTTCCTACTTTAATTTCATCCTTTAAGCTTTACATACCACCAGTAATTTAATATAACCAGGTACTAAATACTGTACTTATTGCTTTGTTTACTGCCTATTTCACTCCACCGGAATGAAGACTCTATGAAGGCAAAGATTTGATTTGGGTTTTTACTGTTTTTCCTTCTACTGTTAATACTACTGGGTACATACTAGACATTCAATAAAGACTTTTTGAATGGATTAATATATTCAGCATAGTAGCTGGTACAGTATATGTGCTCAGTAAATAAGTTACTGTGATTACTTATAATAATGATAACATATCAGGCACGTAAACAACATGGAACCTCCAGGTTGCAGCACTTGAGATTCAGAATAGGAGGAGGAACTTAATATAAATTAATACGGTAATGAAATAAATAAATAAACAAGATCCCACTGGGAAAAACGTTAAGAGCAGAAAGCCGTGGCATGTGAGGGCAGGGTGTACGGATGAGCCAACATGGGGCAGGTTGAAATCTTGAAAGCTAGGAAAGATATTAAAAGTAAGTATCTAGAGAAGCAGAAGAATGAGGAGACGATAGTATAATGGGTGTCAAGGTAAGGTAGACACTCATGAAAGAAGAGGCGGTTAGCAGTGCCTAATACTTCAGGGTATATAGTACCAAGGAAATGATAACGTAGCAAATGTCGAGATACAAATCATGATAAATACCACAGGAAGATTTAATGAGTGAAAATAAATCTTCAGAATCAAAAGTATCTACAAAAGCAATGAAAGAGTTTGCAAGATTGTTAGAGACAGGACTATTCGTTTAACCCATGTTCTTTACCTTTGATTCTCTCAAAGAAAGCAAGGATGGAATAATAAAAGAATGTATCTCATGTTTGAACTTATAAGACCAGAGGTTGATATAAGTAGGCCAAAGAAGTAGTCTTACTGAATTGAATAGGGCTTTATACCTAGATAGCTGGATAATAGAATGACATAATAGATTTCTTCTTATAGTGAAAATCTGAGCACAAGGATGCATCTAAAACAGTAAAATTACTACACTTCTTAAAGAGAATGCAAATATATAAAAATTTTATAAGTTCTTTCTCTTTAAGAAAACACTACAAAAGAACATAATACCAAAATTCATCTAAAATGTATTTTAATATGGCTCTCATTATTTTTAATTAATCTTATTTACTACAAGATGTATAATAAATCTTACATGAAGAAAGGAAATTTAGAATTAGTTACTGCTCTCCTCAGCCCCATGGAGGTATTTACTTCTGCTTTATATTTGCAGTTTGAGAAGAGAGTTTTATTTTTTTAAATAAAGGAATTTAGATACAACCAGCATTTTACAGATAATTACAAAATGAACCATAAGTGGGTGCAAATTGAGTAATCTGATTAATTTCTAAGTTGACCTTTAGAAAAGTATTTGTCTAACATTTCTTACTTGTTGTATTTTTATTATATCAAACTGAAATTCCAGCTAGTTAACTTCCACGTTGTTTTAAAAAGATGAGAACTGCGTTATAGATATGACAGTCTGTTTTGTAAAATAACTGTTTCACTTTAGAAACAATTTGGATTTTGAACTGTAATATGAATATTATCTTTGAATAGCTGCTTCTCTTTCTATCAAGATTTGTTCTTTTCAGGATTACCTCACTTACACATTTTTCCCTTGTATACTTATTAAATCAAGGAATTATTTTGCAGGTAAATTTATTGTTCACTAACGAAAGATAAAATACACCTAATGGCAGTGCGTAACTCTCTTCAAGGTGTGTGTCCTCATTCTAAGTAGCCTCTGACTTAGGTGAAAGACCTCCCGACTGCAGATACATAATGTGCATCTCCAGCAAAATTGTCCATAAGAATAACTTCATTATTCTGGAAAGCCAGATCTATAAAACATGTAAAATGTGGAAGTGTTCTGCCCATACAATTTCTGGTAACTACAGCATGACTAAGTGATAAAACCTGAGTCAGCTTCAGTTACAGCATACCTTACTAAGATGTTTATTGTGCCATGAAGGAAAAAGGAAATATAGTGGACAAAGGGGTATTTTCTGAAGCCATGAGGTATTTTAGGTCTATTGACTTCTGCCTTGATCAATGGAAAAATGATCTCTGGAAGCATTGAGTGGTAGAGTGTACCAGTTAGTCACAGACACCCCAAGTTATAGCAGAATGATGAGAAGGAAAAACTCACCAGTACCACTGGACAAATTGTTGTAGGTGGTAAAATATGGTCCTTCAAAGGTCCGCAGTCACATTCAGGTTTCAGATGAGAAGCACATTTATTATGCAGCTAGGAAAGGAGAAAGAGGACACTATCAAATTTTGCATGGCAACAGCAAACATGAAGCAGATTATATTTTGCCCAAGATACAGCAAATATATTTAAAGAATTATAAGAACAAACCAACAAGATCATAAAGGGATTCATACTACATTTGCCCTTATATATATTCTACCTTAAATAAACTGTTTAGCAACTTCCGTGACCCAGCCTATATATTTTCCAATTCTCAGAAATGTTTATATTAGAAATGTGCTTTAGGTTTTCTACCAAAAAGCCTGATTTCTTTGACAAACACACATTATTGTCCATTACAGTCCTTCCTTGGCTTATCTGTTAGCATAATCTTGAAACTACTACGCACTGTGGATGCTTTTTTTTTTTTTTTTTGACCCTCCTGTTTTCTCAAAGTCATTCCAAAGTGCACAGCTCAGTATGGGGCATAATTGATCCCATCATTAGTTTTAACTTTCTAATTCAATATGTAAATGTAACCAGAGATTCATCTCAGTAGGAGCAGGATATAAATATAAGAAGACGATTATGATTATAAAAATTTATATTTATCAGCTCTACATTAAGTATGTGTATAATCATGTAACATGCTATTTCCTTTTCTACATGTAAAAATCTAAGCTGATATTTTTATCAACCTTGTCACAAGTTTAAATTAAGGTGTTATAACATAGTATATTAAATAGTGATTTTTTAAAAATTCAGATAATTCTTATTGGAACCATATAGAATTGCTAAAGTAGTAGTTGTTTAAAGGAATCTAGGGGTATATCTGCCCCCTACTCCCTATCAGTTTAATATAAATATCCATACTTTAGAAAAATGATACATATTAATAAAATAACGCCTTGTTCAAAACCAAAAAGGAGCTCTTCGTTTTTCAGTTTTGAACCCAAAGCTATCCCGTTTACGTCATGATTACATTAATTAATTTCCGCAACAAACCCACCTTTGTAACAGTTAATTAACAACCAACCATAGGAGTCTAATGGGGTTGATCTACTGTTAGCGATAGTATAGCTCACCACTATTGAAGGGGTATTTCTGTTGTCCTTGAATCTAAAACATCTGTCACGTCCTGCCTTGCAGTTAAGGCTACTTCCACGGTAATTAACTCACACTAGGCCACATTACATGAAATAAAAGTATCTTTACACATTCATCAATAATTAGCAGTTCTGCTTCTCCATGGCATGTAAACTCCTTTTGAAAAAGTGGTTTAATCTTATCAGGCATTGCTGATCTTCGTCAAGAGGCAAGAGGTATTGAAGATAAAGAAGCAGTTGAAGTCACATGCAAAATAGGAATAAATTAACAGATACTCACTTGGCAAATGCCAATGCATAGTTTCCTCCAAAGAAAATCAGTGACTGGTTTAAATATATTAATTTATTGGACTTAATTTTCTTAGAATAAATCATGGCCCTGAAACTTTGGATTTAAACCAATAGATTACCAAGTTTTGTAGGTTAAATTGGTCTTTCCCCAATTGATTTCCTAAATCCTAGTATATGAACTCATTTGGAAATATCTTTGTAGATGTATTCAAGTTCAGTTGAAGTTATACTGAATTAGGCTGGGTCCTAATCCAATGACTGGTGTCCTTATAAGAAGAGAGAAATCTGGACATAAGGAGACAGATATGAAGGGAAGAAAGCCATGTGACAATGGAGGCAGAGATTTGGTGATGGAGCCACAGGCCAAGGGACACCAAGGACCACGGGCCACTAACAGAATCAGGAAGAGGTGAGGGAGTATTCTTCCTTACAGCCTTTGGAGGGAGCCCGACCCTGCTGACATCTTTATCTCGGGTTTCTAGCCTCCAGAACTATGAGAGAATAAATTTCTTTTCTTATTTTGTGGTATTTTGTTGTGGCAACCCTAGGAAACGAATATATGAATCATTATGAAAACTGAACCCAAACCAAAGACAGGCTGTGTGTCTGAAGACTCTTTTGTAATGTGGTGTCACAGAGAAAAAGCTTCTGCTTTTTGATCCTGTACCACCTACTTAAAACTGACAATGCAAGGCTCTACGAAGCCTCTACAAATAGAGAGATGTAAGAAAAAAATTCTGTCTATACACATTGAGAAAGTACTGATTTTCACTCTTGACTGTAGTTAGTGAAGCTTTACATGCAACTCTGAAGGACAGAGATGCAGGGCAATGACCACAGGTACATAAGCTGAGGGCCTCAGCCTCCTCCATGCCTCCATACCATGTGTTTCTAACAATCTACAACTGATATGATAAGGGATGACTAACCTCTCTATACAGTAATTTGAGGGTTACCAGATGTAAGAAAAGATAACAAAGATAACATGAATTTAATGACAGCTTTTTGGCATTTAGGCTAGTTTCCCAGCAGGGGGGGAAAAAAAGGAACTGAGGACTCAGGTAGAATCACACAGCTGATAAGCCAAACAGAATGTGTGTATAAAGGGTAACTCTCCGTATCGAGGTTGGAGGGTTTCAGAGCATAGCTACTGGTAAATGGTCCTATGAAATACTGCTCTCTGCAGAGCTAAATAAAACCAGCATGGCATTGTCCAGTTTGATTGTCACGTGGTCCATATTCCCAAGTTTTGTCTAGGCAGCTGCAAGGTAGGGTCTTGCAAGAACATAGGCATATAGCAGGGTCTACAAGGAGGTCAGTAACCATATCATCATCAGTGAAACAGGGAGACACAGTGCAAGAAAATTCTCCTCCCCAAGAAGTCTGTAGTAACTAATAATGTGCAAGGTACCTTATACTTTTAAGAAGACTGGAGTCTGGCAGCTGCTAAAGACAGCGGGATGTCCATCAACATCATGAGATTATTTATAACCAGGAGAATCAAACCAGAGGACACCATGTTGGAAAATACTGATCATTCCACAATGTGTATAGCAGGTCTAGTGCATTTATCGTACTCCTCAGAGACATACTTGAGGACAAAATATAAAATGTGAAAGCCAATGAGAAAATGCTTATAGTTCCCACGACTATTTATCAAGATTAAAAGTGAACCTCATTTTTGCTGTGAAACTAAAACTTCTGCATAAAGTCTCTTTTTTCGAAAAGAGCAAATATCAACAAAATAGAAACCATATAATAGAATTTAAAAGGCACTTTCCCCCAAAACTACCCCCAAACGGGTTATGTTCTGTTTCTTGATTAGGTGGTGGCTTCACAGGGTGCTCATTTGTGGAAAACTCATTGAGCTCTACCCTTAAGATATTTATACTCTTCTGCATGTATGTTATTTTTCAATAAAACTGTAAAAAGGAAAAAAAAAGTGAATATAACCAGCAATAAAAACAAGTTGCTTGCACTGGTCACCATGACATTTTACAGAAAAAGACACAGCACAGCTGAGTCCTTCTCAGTGTCAATAAGATACTGAAGTCTGACAATTGTCTTAAAGATAACCCAGATCCTAAATCAGCAAAACAGAAAAAGCCTCGTCAAGAAGAGAAATAAACTAGAACATTGATGAATCCTGCCTCTTAAATGAAATGGCCAATGAAGCCCCAGAGAAAGGAAATCGTTACCTTTTTAAAAGTGTTTTTATTTTTGTTCACATTTACCTCTGCATTTTTAAAGAGTAAGGCATAAAAATCTCAGGTCGTTATTTTATTATATGTACAGAAACGTCCATTCATGTTAAGGGAATCAGTCCCTTATCTAGGAAATTCATAAAATATAAACCAGCTATTCCTGGAAGTGAATTAAATACTTGGACATAATTTCAGAGTTTATGACAATTTCCAATAGCACCTAATTTAGAGCCAGGTCTATGTTTATTGAAAACAGCTGTCTCAATTTAGGAAGAAAAAGAAAATGTGTGAATGATGTGTATGTGTGTGTGTTTACTGGATGGAGTTGAGAAAAGAGTGAAGGCATTGTATTGAGAAGAAAGCAATGTAATCTAAGAAGTCAAAAGGGAGAACAATAGAAAAAATTTTTTCATAAGAATTTGGAGTCAAAAAAGAAATAAATATTTTCCTACAGAAAAATGAAGTGACCAGATTTAGAGGCACATTTGCTGGTTTATATACATTTTTTCTAACATTTTGCCATTTCAGGGTGCTGCCTTAATGCTGGCATTGGCTAAAGCATGAACCTTTCTATTTTATTTTTAATTTTTAATTTTTTTTTATTTGTGGTACGCGGGCCTCTCACCGTTGTGGCCTCTCCCATTGTGGAGCACAGGCTCTGGACGCGCAGGCTCAGCGGCCATGGCTCACAGGCCCAGCCGCTCCACGGCATGTGGGATCTTCCCGGACCGGGGCACGAACCCGTGTCTCCTGCATCGGCAGGCAGACTCTCAACCACTGCGCCACCAGGGAAGCCCTGAACCTTTCTATTTTAAAGGCATCAGAAACCTCTAAACATTATGTTAGGAGTTATTATTTTTTTATTTTTGGGGGGGGTATTTGCCTCACTTTTTTATTTTTTATTTTTTAACATCTTTATTGGAGTATAATTGCTTTACAATGGTTAGTTTCTGCTGTATAACAAAGTGAATCAGCTGTATGTACACATATATCCCCATATCTACTGTCTCTTGTGTCTCCCTCCCTCCCACCCTCCCTATCCCACCCCCTCAGCTGGTCACAAAGCACCGAGCTGATCTCCCTGTGCTATGCGGCTGCTTCCCACTAGCTATGTATTTTACATTTGGTAGTGTATATATGTCCATGCCACTCTCTCACTTTGTCCCAGCTTACCCTTCCCCCTCCCTGTGTCCTCAAGTCCATTCTCTCAAGTAGATCTGCGTCTTTATTCTGTCATACAGAATGAAGTCAGAAAGAGAAAAACAAATACTGTATGCTAACCTATATATGGAATCTAAAAAAACAAAAAGTGGTCATGAAGAACCTAGGGGCAAGGCAGGAATAGAAATAAGGAGTTAATATTTTAAAAGAAGTAGGAGCCCTACATGATACCAAAAGTCAATAATCCATAGTCATCGTATAAGCTTTCGTTTGCGAAGCTCAAATGACACGT